TCGGTTTCCACGTCGAGAAGGTAGTCTTCTCCGGCAGCATCAACCGGAAAAGGTAGTCTGCGTCGACACGTCCTGTCATCCCGGTTGTTCACGCGGCAAATACGGCGACCAAAATGGCCGGACAGGCTGTGAATGGAGTTTTTGGATCTATGATATTGATGTTGAGAATTTGATAATTAAGAGGGACTTAAATGCAATTTTAAGATTTTTTGTTATATTTTAATTTAAGGCATGGGCTAAATTTATTATTTATAAATAATATTATTTTTCATATACATTTTTAAACTCATATATTTTATTTTTACTATAAAATAGTATTTTTTTTATACATTTTTCTTATACTTATATAAAAATATATTTTGGTACCAACAAATAATATAAAAATATTAAAATACTCAATATAACTTTATATTAATAAATGATAAAGTATTTTAATTAGTTAGGTTAATTCAATTAACATACCAATAATCCAATTACTTTTAGTTCAATTTTATTTTGAATTTGAACATTAAAATGCCAATAATCATTTTTAGTTCAATTAATTAACAACCCAATAGTACAATTACTTTTAGTTCAATTAAAAAACCAATAAGCCAATTTGCAATATATTGTTAGAACCAGTGCAAATTAAAGAGATCAACAATGCACATTAGTATAACAATGTATTCCACACAATTACAAACGCGTGGTAGAAAAAAAAACGTATTATTTATTTTCAACAAATAATAATGACATTATATAAAAATTATAAACACTATGTATAATATTTATTATATAAATAATTTGGTAAATGCATAGTGTTAATTAAAATACACATCATTAAATCTTTCTTAAAATTGAAATGCAAAGTAAAAAAATAGACGCTCGATAGACTGCACAATAGTGATACACTAGATGCACATTTATGTACGTGTGCTTGCACTTTATCGAGTTCAATTCTTGCACTTTATCAGTATTGGTATTTCGTATATTATATTATTCATTCAAATATAATAAATAAAAATAGTAACATACTAAACAGAGTTTTAATATAAATAATAATTATTTCAATTATTTATGACAATTCGGTTGACCGATCGAATAAACCGAATAAGTCGGTTTGATTTCAATTTAATTTGGAGACAAGATTCTGTTCAAATCAACATGCACAATACCGGTCGGCACAGTGCACCATTGTGTTATAGGACCAGCACACTAATAACTGCTATATTGCACATTATATTTTGTTTATATAGAATATTACATTTCGTAATGCAAAAAAAACAT